GGGGCGGTGTAGGTGGCGGCGGCGGCGGTGGGGGTTCGCTCCGGCCAGCCCACCAATGGGGCAGGTGCGGGACCCAACCACTCCACCCCCAATACCCGTCCGGCCCACGCGGCAGGTCAGGCTCACCATCGCCCGTCCGGTTTCCCGGGGCGGACGGCTGCCCAGGCGCGCCCGTGGGCTCGTTGTTACCTCCGTATGCCGGCGTAGCTGGGCTGCCTGTGGGCTCGCCCTCGCCTACGCGCCCGATGCCCGCGGTCGTGGTCGTTGTAGTCGACCCTGACCGCGGCGGCGGTGGGACGCCCGGCGTCCCCGGGGGCTTGGCCTGCGGCCCTCGCCCCTTTCCCCCTGCAGGCGCGGGCTTGGCGGGCGGTCCTCGCCCCTTGCCTCGCCCCCCACCGCCTGCCGGCGGCGCTGTCGGCCCGGGCAGGGCTGGCGGCGTCGGCGCTGGGACCTCATGTCCCCCGCGCCCGAATGGCAGCCAGCCAAGTGCCCCTTGGACCGTAAGAGCGCCGCCCGTAACCAAGATCATCAGGTGCGCCCCCAGGAAGCCCACAGCCATGGCACCACAGGCGCGCTACCTAGTCCGCGGACTAGCACGGCTGTGGTTATGGCCGCCCCGCGGCCCCCTGGAACACCCGCGCGTCGGCCAGAGCCGAACGCTACGGACCCCAAATGGCTACCTGAGCCCACACCCCCTCCCACTTAACCTGCAGTCTACAACCAATCAGACTATACAATAACCGACGGCAGCAGTACACATGACGCGCTTCACCGTGGCTGAGGTTAGCCAGAACTTCAACAGACGTTGACGCTGGTGCCGACACTAAAACTGTAGCCACCACGACGTTTGAAACTACAGCCAAAACCAACTCTAGATCAACATTTACACTTTAGCGACTTTAGCACGCACGTCGGGGACAACATGAAAATTACCAGAGCCGCGCGTGGGCTCCTTACCGCTCCCAACCTCCATGCTGACTGTAGGCCACCATTGTAAACATTTCTTGGCGAGAAGCCCAACCACATGCTGTTGTGAATACCGCGTTGTGGGCACCGCTTTCGGTGGGGCTCCGTTCGGGGCCACGAAGCGTGTGAGGGGTATCGCGAAATTGGTGGGGAACCGCATGTGGACTTTGCCACTGGGTCCTCAGTGAAGCCCCCTTATGTGGGGCCACGGAACGTGTGATGGGTGTGTCCCATTCGGCGGAGGACCGCATGTGGACCCTGCCACTGGGGCTCTCGGAGGATCTTCCTATGGGGACATGAAGCGTGTGAGGGATGTGGCGAAATGGGTGGTCAACAACATTTAGACCCTGCCGCCGGGGCCTTCGGTGGAGTTCCGTATGGGGACACGAAACGTGTGAGGGATGTGCCCAAATGGGCGGGGAGCCGCATGTGGACTCTGCCACTGGGTCCTTCGGTGGAGCTCCCTGTGGGCCACGCGACGTGTGAGGGGTGTGCCGCAATGGGTGGGGAATCGCATGTGAAGCCTGCCGCTGTTGCCTTCGGTGGAGCTTTCTATGGGGTCGCGAAGCGTGTGTGTGTGTGTGTGTGTGTGTGTGTGCCCAAATGGGCGCAGGACCGCATGTTCTAAGCCGCTCGAGGCGAACAGTTCTTATGCCCCAGCCTTCTTTTGCTTTTTGGGGCATAAGAACTGATATGGCTGCTGATGTTCTCCCCCTCCCCACCTCCCTTCCCGCTGCAGAGGGACTTGACGCAGCAGCGCAGAACGGTCCAGAAGTATCTCGAACGTGGGTTGTCGAACTTCGGTTTTCGACGACGACGACGGCGACGACGGCGGCGACGGCGACTGCGATGGCGACAGCGACGACCGACGACGACAACGACGGCAACAACGACGACGATGACGACCACGACCCCGTCGACGACGACGACGACGTCGACGACGAAACACACCCTTGGCCCACTCAGCGCCCTAAATGTCTCCAAGGAGGCCCCAATCGAGTCCGGAGAGGGCGTCAAGAGAGCCCTGGGAGGTGTCACTTTCGCGGGCGTTGAACGTGACACCTCGGAGATCCCTCCAGGATCCCTCTTGGGGCACCTTTTTGGCCCCTCTGGGGGCCCTCTTCGTGCCTCGTTGAGGCCCTCATGGGGCTTTCTTCGAGCCTATCTGGGGCCCTCTGAGTGGGCCCTAGGAGGTGCCACTTTCACGGGCGTTGGAAGTGACGCCTCGGAAAGCCCGCTTGGGTCCCTCTTGGGCCCCTCTTGGAGCTCTCTTGACGCCCCCTTGTGGCCCTCTTGAGGCCTTCTCAGAGGCCTCTCTGGGGCCTTACGTGTGCCCCCGGAGGTGTCACTTTCACGGGCGTCGAATGTGACACCTCGCAGGGCCCGCTCGGGTCCCTCTTGGGCCTCTCTTGGGGCCCTCTTGGCGCGCCCTTGCGGCCCTCTTGTCATTACACCGACCTTGCAGACATGCTGCAGCGGACTTTTGCGCAGATTTCTTCCAATGCAAAACACCGAAACGGCGAATGAAAAACGACGTGACTTTCGCGTGGATTTTTTTAGTCTTATTCCGGGCCAAACAAATCCGCACGAAATTCACCTCGAAATCCGGAACGACATTCTCCAGGACACTCCAGGCCCATCCTATCGTTTTCCGAACGAAATCCGCTCTGCGATGTTGGCGCCATGACTCTTGGGGCTTTCTTGAAGCCGTTTTGGGTCCTAAATGGGCCCTGGGAGGTGTCATTTTCACGGGCGTCGTCGGCGTCGTGGTCGGCGTCGTCGTCGTCGACTTCGTACTCGTCGTCGTCGTCGTCGGCGTCGACGTGTTCGTCATCGTCATCGCCGTCGCCGTTCTCCTCCCTCGAGCGCGCCCGAGCGCCCACGGCTGGAATCCGAAGGACTCCAGGCCGCGACGCGCCGGGAGCTGGGCGCGGATGGCTGCGTTTTCTTTAATTCGGCAACTTTAGATTCTGGCCCCCCTGGAGGTCCGAGGGACCGAGGCTCGGGGTTTTCGGGATTTTCGTTGACGTCTTGTGTCGTCTTCTTTATCCTCGAACTCCTCCTCCTCCTTCTCCCCCTCCTGCTCCTCCTCCGACTCCACCCTGTCCTCCTCCCCCCTCGTCGTCGTCGTCCTCTTCCTCCTCCTTCTCCTTCTCCTCCTCGCTGCCTCCGTGGACCTCCCCTGAACCACTCTCGCCCGACACTAAGCGCTAAGCAGACCCGTCAGACGTCAGACCAGCTAGACCAAATGCAAACTATTCTGGCGACGGACCCAACCATATGCAGTTGTGGATACCGCAATTGTGAATATCTTCTTCGGTGAAGCTCCCCATGGGGCCACGAAGCGCTGCACCGGGTGGGGGGAAACGCATGCGGGCGGTAGCACTGGGGCCGTCGGTGGGGCTCTCTATGGGGCCTCCAAGCGCTGTGCTGTGTGGGTGAACGTGCCAAATTTGGCGTGTGGGACGCATGCGGGCGGTCCCACTGGTGGCTTCGGTGGAGATCCCTATGGGGCCATGAATCGTATGAGGGGTGTGCCAAATTTGGTTTCCGGGACGCATGCGGACAGTCCCACTGGGGGCTTCGGTGGAGCTCCCGATGGGGCCAAGAAGCGGTGTACTGGGTGAGTGAAAATGCCAAATTGGGCTTCCGGGGCGCGTGCGGGCGGTCCCACTGGAGGTTTCGGTGGAGCTCCCTGTGGGGCCGCGAAGCGCGGTACTGCGTGGGTGAAAGTGCCACATGGGGCCTCCGGGACGCGTGCGGACAGCCCACTGGGGGCTTCGGTGGAGCTCCCCATGGGGCCACGAAGCGCTGTGCCAGCTGGGTGAAAATGCCAAATTGGGCTTCGGGGGCACATGCGGACGGTCTCACTGGGGCTTCGGTGGAGCTTCCTGTGGGGCCACGAAGCGCTGTACTGCGTGGGTGAAAATGCCAAATTGTGTTTCTGGGACGCAAGCGGGCGGTCCCACTGGGGGGTTCGGTGGAGCTACCTGTGGGGCCACGAAGCGTTGTACTGCTGGGTGGGCAAAAATGACAAATTAGGCTTGTGGGATGCATGCGGGCGGTCCCATCGGGGACTTCGGTGGAGCTCGCGATGGGGCCACGAAGCGCTCTACTGGGTGGGTGAGAATGCCAAACTGGGTTTCCGGGACGCAGGCGGACGGTCCCACTGGGGGCTTCGGTGGAGCTCCCGGTGGGGCCACGAAGCGCTGTACTGCGTGGGTGACAATGCCCAAAACGGGTTTCCGGCACGCATGCGGGCGGTCCAACCGGGGGCTTCGGTGGAGCTCTCGATGGGGCCACGAAGCGCTGTACTGCGTGGGTGACAATGCCAAAACGGGCTTCCGGCTTCGGTGGAGCTCCCGATGGGGCCACGAAGCGCTGTGCTGGGTGGGTGAAAATGCCAAATTGGGTTTCCGGGACGCATGCGGGCGGTCCGATGAAGGATGGGGGAGGGGGAGGAAGGAAGGAGAAGGGACGCGGGGACCGTCGTTTCACAACGGGGACCCAACACCACAGGATGGTTGGGAAAAATTGCAAAGCACAACGAACTGCAATGCAACTATTCACTGCGTGGAGCTCCCCTGTATGTGCATCTATTCCTATGGGGCCAGAACGCTGGAGCCTTTTGTGGAGCTCCCTGTGGGGCCACGAAACGTGTGAGGGGTACCTGCCACTGGGGCCTTCGGTGGAGCTCCCTATGGGGCCACAAAGCGTGTGAGGGGCATCTTGAACTGGGTGGGGAACCGCATGTGGACTTTACCACTGGGGTCCTCAGTTGAGCTCCCATATGGGGCCACGAAACGTGTGAGGGGTGTGCCCAAATGGGTGGGGAACCGCATGTGGACTTCGCCACTGGAGCCTTCGGTGGGGCTCCCTATGGGGTCACGAAGCATGTGGGGTGCACCGAAGTGGGTGGGGAACCGCATGTGGACTTTGCCACTGGGGCCTTCGAAGAAGCTGCTCATGGGGCCACGGGCCGCGTGGGGTGTGCGACGAAGCTGTAATGCGGAGGGCAGAGGCAGGGGTGGGAGGAGAGAGGAGGGGGAGGAGATGAGGAAGGACACGCGGGTCGCTGTCCCTTCAAACTGAGGCGCCCAACACAACAGGATGGTTGGGAACAAAAAAATCCAAGCTCCGTTCCTGCACAAACAATTGCAAAGTTGCACATCACGGGCGCAATCGCATGTATGCGGGCATGCAATTGTGCCTTCCGAGCCCCTAAGCATGCCTACACCTACAAATGAGGCACATCTGGGAACAGAAAATATACTGTCAGAATCAAGCGCTGCGCTTGAAACATCCAGCCATCCGGCATGTGCATGCCATCCAGGCACGCATAGCAAAGCTATCATGTTGACTCTCGAACAAGCCACACGCGCACGTAGTTATCCATACGCAAACGTAGTGCACGCACGCACGCGCATGAATACAATCATATGTGCAAACGCACGATTTCTTTAAGCATAAACGGGCGACCCGCGCATGGCGCACATATGGACTGATTGCGAGCAAACTTCGTCTGCTTCTTATTCTCGCCCTCGCCGTGTTCATCCTTCAAATATTTCAATTCCTCGTCCTCCTCGTTGTCCTCCTCTTCCTCTTCCCCCCCTCTCTCTGCGGGAACCTGCGACGACGCTGCATGCATCCGAGAGCCACAGGCGCAGCATGCTAAAGCCAGTGGATCCGTTGACATCTCCTTCTCCTTCCCCCTCATCCCTCGAGGTCCTCGGATGTCTTCGGCTGCGCCCGAAGGCTCAACACACAGAATCGGGTAAAAACCTCGATGCACGATTCTTCTCCTCTTCATTCTGTCAAGCCCAAACCCGCACGGGGACCAGCAGGACTGAAGCCTGTCAGGGCGGAGCCGCGTCGGAGAGCAGAGCCAGGGGGGGAGAGAGAGAGAGAGAGAGAGAGAGAGAGAGAAAGAGAGAGAGAGAGAGAGAGAGAGAGAGAGAGAGAAGTCACATCGTTGCGCGGCGCTGCAGCCGTCGCCCCCGCCCGCGAACCAGACATACCAATCAGAAGCTCATCCGGATAATACATAGCTGGGAATCAGAAGCCCATCCGACCTCTGCCGACGGCGCCACCCCACCTCCCGAGCCAGACGAATCGGGTCTGCACCCTTGTGCCGACCGTGGTTCTTGGGGGGGACGACGACCGCAGACGGTCCTGGCCCAGCACGGGCATCTTGCCTGCCGCCCAGCGGATGACGGCTTGCCTCCCTGGTGGGACCTACGCTGCCCCCCCTTCGGCAATTCGGACTGGCCGCACGCCTTCCAACTCACCGATTTCTGGTGCCTGGGGCCGCCTGCGCACTCCTCGTGACCAAGATTCTCTACGTCTGAGGACTCCTCCCGCGTTCCTCCTCCGCGGCCGCCCTCTTTTCCCTGGCAGCCTGGTGTGCCCTAATTCTGGCGCGGCCCGCCAGCTTTTCGAACGCGTTGGCGTCCGCCCTCGCTGCTGACAGAACAAATGTCATGGGGGGTCCCGCAGCCGTGGGGTGACAGACCGCGCGGTACACTCGGAATTTCCAAAGATCGCACCGCTCGGCCCGTCACCGCACAGCTTTCGGACCTCGGATGCCCCAGTTGCCTGAGACGTCCTCGGAGAAGGACCGAAGTCCCAAAACCGTGCTGTGACTCCCACTGACACACCACACGGTGTGGTCACCGCACCGTTTGGGGGCCCCCGAGTTTCATCACCCTCTCTCACCAACCTCACCAAGGTCGCCGGCAAGGAGGGAAGCAACGGTGGTCAACGCGTCCCAGGGCTGGGCCCGAAGCGAAGCTCGACCCCTGGCGGGTGTGCAAGGCCCCGGGAGCACGATGACAGCGCAGCTCCTTTTTCTGCATGTGACTGTCACGCCCAATCCACCCATCTGCTAAACTGGATGCAAGTTCGCCCAAGCGTGTCCCAGTTTAGCGCTTCGCGACGGGGCCACCCCGCCGCTGGAGGAACATGTATATATGTGTGTGTGTATATGTGCTTTGGTGCTTTGGTGCGTCGGCGGCCTGGGGCGTCTGCACCTCGCCAGGCCCGTGCGCTGGGCCCTCGAGCGACGTCCGTCGCCTGCCGAGCCCGAAAGGAGCCGAGCCGCGGGCAGCGCCCCCGCGCGCTCCCCAGGGCGGCGGCGCCGTGGCCCTCTCGAGGCCGCGCCCCACCCTAGGCCCCTCAGCCTGCTGCCAAGGGGGGCCGAAAACGCAGCGAGAAACGCGCCGCGCCCAGGCCACCCACAACGCGGGGAAGCAAGCCCGAGCGCCCCGAGCGGGGCGGTAGCCCCGCCCAGGCCCCTCAGCTCACGGATAACACCGCGCCAAGGGGGGCCGCACGCACTGAGACCAGACAGATCATTGAACGAGCACAACGGCCTCAACTCAGATCCCTTCCAGTCTTTGGGTCCTGGCCGCGCTGGATGCGGCGAATGCGCCTGAGGCGCTCCTTGTCGCCTGGGTCGCGCGGGTCCAGCCGCCTGCACGGCCCGCCGAGGTTCCTGGCCACCGAGCTGTAGTAGGAACCACACACGACGCAGACCACGAAGTTGCCAATGATCTCGACCGTATGTGGCCGAGGCTCCGATGAAGCGGCTCTGGCCGTCTCAGGCAGCGCCTGGCCACTCCTGGCGGGCTGGGCAGAGGCCGCCCGCCCGCGCGCACCCCGCTCTGGCTCCGAGGCCGCCGCAGCCCCAGCCGAGGGCGGCGGGGGCCCCGCCAGCGGTGCCAGGCCGCCCTGGCCAGAGCCCGCCGCCGCCGCCGAGGATGCTGAGGAACCAGTCCTTGGGGCCTTACCACCGTGTTTCAGGCTGCCCTGGCCAGCACGAGCTTGGTGTGCCGCCAAGGGGGCGGAGCACACAGCGGCCGCTGCCTGGGTGGCAGCCTTGCCGTCCACGTCCAGGGAGCTGGCCAACTCGCCCTGATCAGCTCCAGGCTCGCCAGCGGGTTGAGCAGCAGGCGGCACCGTGGGAACAGGAGCTGCCCCAGCGCCAGCCGTAGCACCGTCGTCCACGTCCTGGGAACAGGTGGCTGCCGCGCTGCGGATCCGCAAAACACCCTCCCGCCTCGCCCCTCCCGCTGGAGCTCCCTCCTCCTGTGGCTGGAGTGCCCTGGGGGCGAGGTCGGGATTGGGCGACGACTCGCGCACTGACGCCTGGGTGCCTGTGGCCTGCGTGGCCTTGCCGTCTGCCTCCACCACCTCGAGGTCGCTGTGCACGCTGAGGGCCGCGAACTCGTCGGTATCGTCGTAGCCATGGGCGTCCTCGGCGGCGCGGCCTGCCGCATCACCTCCTTGGTCGTCATCCGAGGAGAGGGGCTCGAAGACCCACTGGTGCCAGGAGGCCGTCTCAGGCGGGGCACGATCTCCAAGAAGATCCCTGAAACGCTCCCTGACCTGGTTCAACACATCGAAGTGATGCCGAAGCAGCCGACGGCGCTGCCTGGCTGTCAAACCCGAATCAGGCCGTACCCTGGCGAACTGCGCCTGACGGGCTGGTTCGGCACGCGTCCAAGAGGTGGCGCATAGGTCGTCGACGACCTGCCCGAGAGTGCGGCCAGGGTTGCTACGCAGAAGATGCTCTCGAACTGGTGCCCACGCCGCCGAGCTGAGAAACCTTTCAAGATATTCCGAACACCACGTACGGTAGTCCCACTCGTTGGTGAAGCCTGCGGCGTCGAAACGATCGATCCAGAAAGACGCCCAGATGATGGCATCGTCCATGATGGAACGGACATGCTGCTGTTTGGGCGTGATGTGTGGCTGGCTTGGCGGGGTTCCCATGCACACAGGGCCGTCAGGTATCCGCTCCATCCTGCCAAGAGCCGCGCGGGCTGCTGCGACAGGAGCCCACAGCGGGTCGGGGCCCAGCTGGGAGGCAGGCGCAGGGTCGGGCTCTACTCGAGGCTCACCCTGATCTCCATGGTCTGCTCGCTGTCGCACAGGCCGAGCGGCGGCGCCTGCCGCCACGAGAAGAGGCACCGCCACACTGCCTCTCTTGGCCGCACTCTTGACTAACTTGCCCTGGAGCCCTTGGAGACGACCACGGCACTCCTGCAACTGAAAGGCCGCGAGGCGAGTGCGGGCAACCTTGCCGCAGTTGGTGCACTTGGAGTAACCGCGGCACACTTCCAGAACGTGCTGGTGCCTGGGACCAGCCTGGGGTCGTGCAGCCTGAGGAATGTTGGCCTCTTGGCCCTGCTGCCGTTTGGGCCTAGGCTCCGCCAGCTTGACCCCGTCGAGGAGGGCCCTGAAGTGCCCGATGTACTCGAGCACGCGCTTGGTGGCCTTGAGCTCCTGCTTGACCTGCAACGTGGCCCACTCTGGCGGCGCGCTGAGGTCCGCTCCTTGCTTGGCCCATTCGTCGGCTAAGTCATTGTGCCTCATGTGAATCTGGACCTCCCCTGGCAGCTCTAGGCGTTTGGCCTGCGATATGTGCGAGGCGACTTTGATGACCGACAACTCTCTGCCAGGACGGATGTCCATGTCATCCAGGCGATTCCAGATCTCGAGCCAGACGTGCGCATAGGGCCTGGCCGCTGAACAACACCATGCCCTGCCACGGGCCAAGCCTTGGACCACCTGAGCATTGTCAATGATGATGGCCGTGATGAAGACCGAATGCCTGAGGGCGTGGAGGAGACCCCACAACTCTGCCAGGACCGAGCTGGGGTCGGGAAAGGGCAGTGGGCCGTACAGGCCCTGCACCACGTCGTCGGCCTCCGCTGTGCACTGCAAAGCCGCCCAGCCGCCGTGCCTGAGGTCATCCAAGCCTTTGACTGATCCGTCCGAAACCAGCACATCGGTGAGCTCGGGGGCCGCGCCATTGACGATCCAATGGGTGCGCTGCGACGGTAGACTCCAAGCCAAGCCGTAACATGGGGTTCGCCGCAAACCCCGCCCCCACAACCATCTTGAGGCTTCCGACGAGGAGGCCGACACGCCCAGGTGGCCGACGTCTCTGAAGGTAGGTGACGCGTCGTGGGCCGTCAGCTGCTCCCTCACCGTGGCACACGTCGGGCTGCCGCGCCGCCAGTAATAGTGCTGGTGGGTGCCGAAACAGGTCGTGTCGTCGCAAAGCTGGCAATACGGAGTGTCCGCCTGGCCCGAAGAGAAAAGGGCCTCCTGCGAAGGGAAACCGCCCAACACCGCCTTCTTGACCGCGTCGGCATGGTGTTGCAGCCACCCGTCCTGCTTGCGCCGCTTGACCAACTGCCTCGCTGGGGTGAACCACGGCGCTGGCAGGAGCGCAGCCCGCTCGGGCTGAGCCGCAGCCCACTGGCACAGGGCTCTGGAACGGGCGGCCAAAAGCACGGCGGCCTCGACCGACTTGGGGCAAATCTGCAGTAGATCAAGATGAACGTCCCCTCATTGGCGCACCCCGCCACGTGGAGGCAAGACAATCTCGAAGGCTGACGGCATGCTCCAACCATGGGCTCGAACTGTGACTGAGGTGGCCCCCGCTGGGCCGCGCACCACTGACCACAACTCCTGAGCGTCGGCGTCCATGTACAGCGCGAGCTGTTGCTGCACTCGGGCCCATGCTGTGGCCTGCGCACGCCGCCCCTCTGGGTGGTCCCAAGCTCCCCCCGCCCAAGCCAGCAGCGGTGCTAGAACGAGGGTGTCGGCGCAACTGGGGTCGAGGCCGTCGTGCAAGACTCGGGAGGTAAAAGCTGTGGCGCCCCTGCGGACGGCCCGATCCTTCTGCTGGATGAAACGCACGATGGGCCTGGGCGTGCCGCGGACACGGGCGCCGTATGCGACCGAGGCTCCGAGGCCCTGCCGCACGACCATCTTGAGCTTGCCCCCGCGTGCACGAGGAAGGCCGCGGATCTTAGGCCAACGCTGCTTGGCTATCTTGAGCCGCGCGTGTCTGACTGGGGCTGACTGGTTCTCTGTCTTGACGCTGGGACCGTAGTCGATGCCGAGCCACCGCTCGGAGGTGCTGGGCGGTACCCCCAGGACGGCCATGGCCTGCGTCAAGCCTGAAGACGGAGTGGCCGTTTGCAGGAAAGAGCACTTGCCTCTCGCCCCGTCCCGCGCTCGGGCTACCTCCAGGCCCAAGAAGGACTCCAGCATCCAAAACAGCAAGCGCGTGGCCTGCGGCAGCATGTACAAGACGCGCGCCTCGGTGGACATGACCCGCAGGGCGATGTCATCAACGTACAAGTAGATCGTGAGGCGGAAAACCCCCAGCAGGTCGTCTAAGCACAGCGTGAGGTAGAACCTCAGAAAGGTGGGCGCGAAACGGCTGCCCGCTGGGAGCGCTGTGGAGGACAGGACCTCCGCCGAGCAAGCCTCCCCGAGACGAATGACACGGCCAAAGGCGAAACTTTCCAGGGCGAGCGCGACCACCTCCAGCGGGCCGTCCCACCAAGCTGCTAGCCACCACATACGCTCATGCGGAACCTTCTCATAACACTTGGCGAGGTCCGCCAGCATCGTGGCCGCGCGTATGCCTGTGCCCAACACGAGCTCGTCGTCCAACAAAGCTTTCCACAGCGCACGCTCCGATGATTGGCCCGCCGCCGTGTAGTCGTAGCTCCTGGGGTGCGCCGCCAACCAGCTCCTGATGGTGGGCAGCTGCCACGCCTCCCAGGTTCGGCAAGGGCCAGGTAGAAGAATGATGGGTCGGCCCCCTCCATCGAGCTTCCCGATGATGAAAACGAGCAGGAGGTGGACCTGGGACGGCCACCGCCCCAATTGTTGGCACCAAGCCAGCAATGACGCGAGCACCGAGAGCGTGCCGTCCGTGAGGTAGGCCCAAAGCTTGGGTTGCCATCCGTCCACGCCAATCCCCGTCTTGGCCCTGAAACGCTGGGCCAAACCGCGCAGGTGGTGAGGGCTGGGCGGCGTGACGGCGACTTGCTGGAGGCCCCTCCACGGCTTGGGGAAACCTGAGCCAGTGGCCCAGACCTTCGATCAGTCGTGCAACTCCTGGTCCACGGCGGCCTGAGGCGCCGCTGGGAGCAGCTCCTTGGAGATGCTGCCCTTGGGGGCCTGCCAAGCCTGGCGCCACTTGGTGACCCTGTGGAGGAGCCCCTGCGAGCCTGGGAAATCGTCCTCTAACCGCTGCTTGCAGGAATCTCGTCGTTCCTTGCCGATCTGCCACTCCAAGTACGAGGCATACTGACTGCAGCTGAGGCGCCAAGCCGAGAGCTCCTGCAAGTCTTCATAGCCGCGGTCCCGAGACGTGAAAACCTCGAAGAACTCCTGCAGCTCAGCCACGCCTTCTAACAGCATGTGGTGCCTGAAGCGGTCACGCAACTTGCGGATGGAGGCGTGCCGCTGCTGGTGCAACGTGGTGAGGGCCAGGTCGGAAGCGCCCGTGTAGCTGAAAAGCTTTACTTCAATGATGCCCAGCCAAGCCAACTCGTTGGCAAACCACCTCCAACGCTTGGCCTCCCCGTACGAAGCGATGGCCTCGGTGTGGGTCGGGAGCAACGGGCACTTCCTGAAGCGCGGTGGTCCCCCACGCCCTCGGCATTGATCGGCTTGCCGACTGCTGGGGTCCAAACCCACCTTCTGGATCAGCTCCTCCTCGGCGGCGTGGCAGAAAGCCTCCCAGGTGTCGTCCAGGAGCTCCTGGGTAGGCACCGCATCGGGGTCGAAACCTGCAGGCACGTCTGGGCACGAGAGATCGAAGTGCCTCGGCTTGACTCCTGGGATCGGGAACTTGTGGGGTCGGATGAGCTTGGTGTAGGTAAAGGCCGACCAAGGCTGCTGAAACTCGACCCATGTGGCTCTATGAGGGTGGTAGACCGCGTCGTCGTCAATGCGAGCTGGGGAAATATTGGCAGCCAAACTGGAGTGCATCCAGAAATAATCGATCACGCGCTCACCGTGCGGGGAGCGGTTGGTGCCCCCTTCCCCTTGCCACGCTACGACGCGGCCTCTGAGCTGGTTGTTCCACGGCGAACGCTCCAAAGCGTCAGGTAGATTCTCCCAGTCCGCGATGACGATCCAGGGCAGCTGGAGCTGGACTGCCCACCCCGTGATAACTGACAGGAGAGCTGAATTGCCCACAGACGCCAACTTCTGACCAGTGAAGCAATACGCACAGAAAACCAGTAACTTGCCGATGCCCTTGGCCTCGAGGGTGGCCATCAGGAGCCTGCCTGCACAACCTGGGGGAGATATGTCCCAGTGTCGCTGTCCAGATGCAAGAGTGACGCCGACGCAGGCAGGTATCGCCAGCAAGACGCCCGCCGAGGCCCCTCCATTCGGGCCGTCCGTCGCTGGCGTGGGCAGGGCCCTCCAGCCCAAGGGCAGCAGGGCCCGTGCGCTCTCTTCGGCCCATAAACGCCGCTTGCCGTGCTCCTGGAAACCGATGATCGGAATCTTGCCCTCGGTGAGCTGCTGGTGTGCCGCGCCGTGGAGGTAGCCCACAACGTTGCCCCAGCTGAGGCTGGCATTGACGCTGTGGAAGGTGAAGCGCCTGTGGCTCCGCTGTCGACGCTTGCCTCTGCGGGCTCCTGCTGCTGAGGGTCGATACTTGGCGACGTCGCACTGGGGCTTTGCCGGAGTCCCG